ATTTTTGCTGCTAAATGCATTTTTAAATATGTTAGGGCATCATATGTTTTATCTATTTCTTGGGATTCTAGTTCTGACCTGTTTTTGGGGTGAAAAGGATGGGATAGAAATGCAGTAAATAAATAAATAAATAAATAAATCCTTGAGCTTTCTATTATAATTTTGCCTCTAGTGACTTCCTTCATTGTATCCCTTGAAAGTTCTGGGTTACACTCTTGTATATAATGGCAATCAAAGATTTTTTTCAGATGTTCTTTCATTTTTTTCTTTGTTGTTCATTCATTCAGTTGCTTCCGACTCTTCATGACCTTATGGACCAGCCCACGCCAGAGCTGCCTGTCAGCCGTTGCCACCCCCAGCTCCTTCAAGGTCAAGCCAGTCGTTTCAAGGATACCATCCATCCATCTTGCCCTTGGTCGGCCCCTCTTCCCCTTTCCTTCCATTTTCCCTGGCATAATTGTCTTCTCTAAGCTTTCCTGTCTTCTCATCATGTGGCCAAAGTACTTCATCTTGGCCTCTAATATCCTTCCCTCCAATGAGCAGTTGGGCTTTATTTCCTGAAGTATGGACTGGTTGGATGTTCTCGCGGTCCAAAACACTCCCAGAACTTTCCTCCAACATGAAAGTTCAAAAGCATCTGTCTTCCTTCGCTCAGCCTTCCCTAGGTCCAGCTCTCACATCATAGGTGACTATGGGGAATACCATTGCTTTGACTATGCAGATCTTTGTTGCCAGTGTGATGTCTCTACTCTTCACTATTTTATTGTTTTTATCACATTTTTTCTACTTCCTGTTTATTCAAGAGCAGTGTTTAATTTAACCATCGGTTGCATTACCTGTGCTTTTTATTGCTGGAGCCCACCTTGTAGTTCTTAATGAATGCTCAGAAATAAGACAGACGGAAGGGACTTTTTTTGGAATTCTGGCATGATATCTTCTATTATTAGAATATGATCTATTCTAGTTAGAATGCCAATGTAATAACTTTCTTTCTCTTGGATGCAATTTCCTTTACGATCCTGATTGTCCTTTCTCTTTTTCTGACTGCACTGTCCAATTTCTTGATTAGTGTACAGTTGTCCTCTCCAATAATGATAGGTTCATCTGCAAATTTCCTTCAGCATTTGTTCCATAAAGGTTACTTGATTTTTATCTCTTGAGTAGTATGATCTGAACTTTGCTATTCCCTTCATTATTTTCTCTTTTACATATATAAATGTATATAATGAGGCCAACAGATTTAATTTTCCTGTGGTAATTTTCTAATCCTCCCACTTCTCTCTTTTATTTCAGCTTCAGACCAGGAATATTTAGCTTTTTTATCCACCACAACTATTCAATTCCTCAGAGATAATAAAAAAAACCTGACAATATATGATAAACTTAATATGTGAATGTTATAGATAATATTACAATATATGGTAATATAGATAAAAGAAGGGAAATAAAAGAAAAGTAAATCTTAACCTCCTTTATCTATCCAAAGCATTAAAATAGTTTTAATTTTTTAAAAGATATTGCTATGCTGATAATTGAGCTGAAAACACAACTGCTGGATTTTTAAAAAGTATGAACCTAATCTCCTTCTCTATGGCATTGTCAGTTGTCCTCCTCTAGTTCGCAGTGGCAGCCACTGACCTTCCATCCTGCCATAGTCAGGAATTTTCACTACCAGCTGGACATATGTTGCAGTTCATTCTTATTATTATTATTATTATTATTATTATTATTATTATTAACTTTATTTGTACCCCGCTAGCATCTCCCGAAGGACTCGATGCGGCTTACACAGGCCGAAGCCACAAAACACAATATAATAGAAACAGACATCACAAAAGCAGAACAAATCAAACAATAGCAAAATAACAACAATAACAGTACATCAAGACATTATTAAAACTGGTTCGGCCGGCGCACTGGGTACAAGGGATTAAAAGTGCTGAAATGGCAGGAGGCACGTAGGATTTCAAGTGCGGTGTGCAGTAACGATTTGTTATGCTAAGGTGCTATTTGGACTTGGGGTGGGGATTCCTAATCTGAGAAAGCACAACGGAACAGCCAAGTTTTTAAATTCCTTCTGAAAACGGCTAGAGTAGGGGCCTGTCTGAGATCTTTTGGGAGGGCGTTCCAAAGTCGGGGGGCCGCCACAGAAAAGGCCCTGTCCCGTGTCCCCACCAAGCGCACTTGCGACATAGGTGGGATCACGAGCAGGGCCTCTCCAGATGACCGGAGCGAGCGTGTGGGTTCGTAGATAGTGATGCGGTCACGCAGGTAGGGTGGTCCCAAACCGTTTAGGGCTTTGTAGGTAAGCACCTGCACCTTGAATTGGGCTCGGAAAATAAACGGCAGCCAGTGGAGCTCCTTAAACAGAGGGGTAGACCTCTCTTGATAATGAGCCCCAGTTAACATCCTGGCAGCTGCCCGCTGGACCAATTGAAGTTTCCGAGCCGTCTTCAAGGGCAGCCCCACGTAGAGCGCATTGCAGTAATCCATTCTAGAGGTGACCAAGGCATGGACCACCCCGGCCAGATCAGCCTTCACGAGGTATGGTCGCAGTTGGCGCACAAGTCTCAATTGTGCAAAGGCCCTCCCGGATACTGCCGACACCTGAGCCTCAAGTGTAAGCGAAGAATCCAAGAGGACGCCCAAACTGCGGACCTGTGGCTTTAGGGGGAGTGTAACCCCGTCCAACACAGGTGACCACCCTATACCCCGATCCAGTTTACGATCGACCAGGAGGACCTCTGTCTTATCGGGATTGATCTTCAGCTTGTTCCTCCTCATCCAGATCGACACAGCGGCCAGGCACTCGTCTAGCACCTGAGAAGCCTCCTTGGAATTTGGTGGAAAAGAGTAGTAGAGTTGTGTGTCATCCGCGTAGAGATGGCACCCAACTCCAAAACTCCGGATGACCTCTCCCAGCGGTTTCATGTAGATGTTAAAAAGCATGGGCGACAAAATAGAGCCTTGCGGGACCCCACAGGTCAAAGGCCAGGGGTCCGAGCAGGCGTCTCCCAGCTTCACCATCTGAGCTCGTCCCTCCAGGAAGGACGGAGCCACGACAGAACCGTGCCCCCAAGGCCCATCCCAGAGAGACGACCCAGAAGGATACCATGATCGATGGTATCGAAAGCCGCTGAGATGTCCAAGAGAACCAACAGAGTCACACTCCCCCTGTCCAGCTCTCTGCGGAGGTCATCCACCAAGGCGACCAAGGCTGTCTCGGTGCCATGACCAGGCCTGAAACCAGACTGTGATTGATCTAGGTAGTTGGTATCGTCAAGGAAACCCTGGAGCTGGGAGGGTTTCCTTTTGTAGCCACTACTGCTCAATCTTTGCTCGGTACCACAATTTGAAGGGGAAACTCTATACATTAATCTTGCTTCTCTGAGTGATTTTGTCATGAGTTCCCATTCCATTTTCTTCCTTGTTTCTCAAGTGCTATGTCCTAATAGATCTCAATTCTCTTCTCCTTGTAAGTCATTTTTAAATTCATGCTTGGTACTTGGTAGATTAACATTTTGGATATCTTGCAAATTTGATGGTATTGGCTGGAGCTACACTGTAATATAATGTATTTTCAGAATGCAGATCCACAGCATTGAACTGTATTACATAGCAGTGTAGGCTCATATACTCCAATTCAGTGCAGATGATGATGATGATGATGACAGAAAAGTTTCTAGAGGTCCACATTGAGGTCCAGAAGTCGGGGGACAGCCAGAAAAACCGCGGGGCAGCGTAATGCTTCATGCCCTTACCATCAGTGGTTGTGGGATACCTTCCCAATGTTTCCCTGCTGTCCACAACTTCCTCCCTGACTTCTCCTGGTCTCTGCTTCTTGGTGCTGCCAACATGGAGCCTAAATGACCCCCTCCGGAATTAGCCTTGAATCATAGAGTCCTGTGGACGCTATGCTGGCAGCATGCTGGCAGCTCAGAGAAGCACAGAAAAGACTCCATATGATGAGGTGGCAAGAGGATGAGGATGCAGAGAAATAAATCCTGATATCTTGATATAAGAGGATTTTGATGTGCTGTGTGTGTGTATTCCTTCTCCATGAAGTTGTGAATGCCGAAATTTATATATTTAGTTGATATTCCATCTTGTTTTGCAGTTGTTTAATCTCTTCTTGAAAATTGCTGAGGGATTTGTAGTTTAGAGAGGCCTAGAACCTCTCAGGCTGAGCAGTTTAAAGGCCCCTCCTTAAACTACAAACCCCAGATTTCTGTAGGAGACAGCAACTGGATTTAAAGTAGATAGATACACTAGTGTGATGAGGGCCTATGACTTAATTCAAAGATTCTCCTGCTGTGTTACATAGGTGTGCCATCTGATAAGCAATTTTCTTCATTTCTTCTTGCCGCAGTCTTATTTCCCTAGCAAGGTCAACTTGGAATTCCTGTTTTAGATAGTCCATTATTTCCAAATTTCTCTCATCTCTATCTTTGTTGTGTCTTGTTTTTCTTTACCAGGTATCATCTTGTCTTCCCTGGCTCTTTTTATACTCCTGCCTGTGAAATTGTTTTCATCCTCCATTTTTACTTGCTCCCATTAGTTTCTCATTGATAGTTTCTCATATCTTGGCAACCCTCTCTTCTCTTTACTAATTATTTCTCACCCAATTTTGTTTTGTGGCCTCCTGTAGGCTGATTTCACACTGATTTAAATGGTCAGTTTAGATGGGCCCCCATCATGGATAAAATGCTGTAAAGACCTGGACCCTGTGGCACTCTAGTAGTCACTTCCTCCCAGGATGCCTCAGCCACCTCCTACACTTTCAAAAATAGCTGAAGTGCATGCCTCCTGCATTTTGGCTGGGTTCAAAGCAGAGGCAGCAGCTGCCTCCTCAGTAACCTCCCATTGTACACTTCTTGTACTATTAACATTATTGTTGATCCCAAGCTGGGCAATTGATGGGTCTATCTGAAAGTATTCCAATATAGAGATACAGTGGAGTGACTGAAGTTTTCTCATGTTTTTAACAATTCCCTATTCAGAAAGCTGTTAAATATTCAGTGTCTTGAAAGTGGCTTCTGGGAGGAAGGCAGCTGTATTCCTGTGGTGTGTAAGCCACCCCCAGCCGTCTTTGAGGGAATGTACACTTGCACCAATGGCTTTGAGCTAGACAGCCAGTGTGTCATCAGCTGCAGCCCACAGATCAAGAAGGTAACAACTATTTTGTAATGTGGTCTGCTCCCAATTAGCTGAGAGCCTCAAAGATTTCTATTGAAGAGAATGTATGGTGATTGCTGATTCAGTTCTGCAGAGTGTTAGCTGTCTACATTTGCCCTCCTTGCTGATATCTAGTGAATTTTGAATTATCTGCAGTAGGCATATTGCAAGTAGCCAGGACTCTACAGGAACATAGGGGTTGAGAAATTGCCTTTGTTTTTCTTTTCCTGCTTTATTGCACCATAGATATACAAAACATATCATTATTTTGTTCATTAATTCATCTAGATTAGTTGCTATCACTGCTCCTACACTTCTAATAATTTGTAAGTAGTATGAATTGGAAGAACACAGTTATCCATAGAATTATATTCCAGTTAAAGCATTTGAAGTTAAAAACTGGCTTAGTAGGAATTGTAACACCATAGTGTTTTCCCCCTTCCCATTCATGCTTGTAAAATTATCAGAACATGTTTTTCTCCCCATGTCCTCTATGCCACTAGTTCCAAAAACAATTACTGGCAACCTCAAAATCAGCGCAGAGCACTTGTGACAATTTAGTGGGAGTTTGTTTTGGGTAGTTGATTATGAACAACATTGCATTTAGTTTTCATTAATTGCTCTGTTCTTGTTTTACTTCAGCCTCCTGTCCTTTGCACTAAGGATGGCTTGTGGTCAGAGGAATTTAAATTGTGTGAAGAGCTGAAAGGAGAATGTTCACCACCCCAAGAACTCAACTCAGTGGAGTACAAATGTGAGCAAGGTTATGGAATTGGTAAGAGTCATCCTCCTTCCTTTATCTTCTCCAATTTCTTATTTTTTGCCCTCTAACAAAACCCTTCTTCATTTAAGCCTGTTAATGTTGCCAAGATTAGAAGAACATTCATTAGTCATCAATGATCAAATATATTTAAACATTTCAGATTTCCTTTTAGCTTTATGTTGCCACTTAGAAGCTACTCAGGCTGCAGTGGTATTTCCATTTCAAAAATGGCTTGCTGTTACCAATAGATCTCTGCTGCAAAAACAAGATCTTTTTAAAGTGGCAGTGGTTTCCTCTCTCTGTGAAAAGTTGATGCTTCTGACTTAGAGATGGGTGTCCTGAATAGGCAGCAGGTGTGAGAAGACTTCAGTCTTATGATCTCTGTAGTTTTTCTCAGAACATAAGGGGAATTAAAGGCAAGGCAAGAGTTTTCAGAAAAGGAGGCAAATACCATGTTTTATTGCATGATAGTCGCACCTCCATTTTTGGGATGCCAACATTGGTAAAATTGTTCAACCCACCTGTCCACGTGCCTGCCCTTTGCAGCTGTGAGATGTCCTTGTCCACATGCCTGCCAGTGAAAACTAGCCCTGGTGCCTGTCAGCAAGAGCTACAAGGCCTCCCTCAGCTGGTGGCAGCCAACTGAGGCCTTGTAGCTCTTGCTGTCATGCATGCAGACAGCTTTGCAGCTACAGGGTTTCCCTTGGCTGGTAGCTAAGAAAAGCATAGTAGCTACAAAAAATAATCATCAAAAAAGGGAGAAAAGTGCTTTAGTCTAATGAGAATGGCATCTCAGGAAGAATGGAAGAGGAACAAATCTGATATGTTGACCCTCTTATGTGTGTAAAAATGGATTTTTAAAAATATGTAATATTTTTAAATGGAAGGAAAAAGGAAAAAGGAAGAGGGGCTGACCAAGGGCAAAATGGATGTATGGTATCCTTGAAGTGACTGGATTGACCTTGAAGGAGCTGGGGGCTGGTGACGACCGACAGGAAGTCACGAAGAGTCAGAAACGACTGAATGAATGAACAACAACAACAAATATTTTGACCCTAAATTTAAAAAATGTTTTCAAATGGCCCCTTAATAAAGTTCATAGTTTCCATGTAGGACTGCATTTGACATAACTTAAAATTGCAGTTCAGTACACATATTTCTTGCAGAGACTGTATTAGTTTATTCAATTTACTAGTTCTAATAAGTTCTGTTTTCAGAAAAGACAATAATGCAGAGAATGTATAGATTTTAATTGTCCTTCTTAGACCTTCTCCAAAATGACAACTGTTTACATTTGTGTACATGTCTAGAAGTTTTAGTGAAACCAATCGCATAAACCTGGGTTGACTTATCAATGTGTCAGTGTAAGTATTGTATCTCTCCTATTATCAAAAAATGGAACCATCTTCTTCTCAGAGTAGAATGGTGAAAGGTTAGATCTTAGTCCATCTCCATAAAAACCTAACAGAAGTACCGACATAAGTTCTCTATTCTGTGACACCAGCTCTGACCTTTTTGAATGCCTAGGTGAGAAAATGGTGGCAATGGCTCTTTGGTGTTTCCTTTCATAGGACTGGAACATAGAGATAAACAGATGGGGGAGGTAGGCTGCAGCTGATGCTATGTGTGTTGGAAGCTGGCAGGGAGGGGGAGAAAATTCTGACATCTTGACCCATTCCCTAAACCATTTCTTTGTTACAATTTTGACAAAAAGAGATGGTTGGGGAAGGGGTAGAGAAATATTAAGCCACTTTCTCTTTAAAAGAAGGAGTGAAAGATAAGATTCTAGTAGCTTTGTGCAAGCTCCAAAAGCATATTACATCTAGGGGTGCTGTTATTGCTTTTGAAATACGCAGACTAGTAGCAGTATCTAAAATCATGTCGTATACAGGCAGTCCTTGAGTTCTTGTTGTTGTTCATTCGTTCAGTCATCTCCGACTCTTCATGACCTCATGGACCAGCCCACGCCAGAGCTCCCTGTCGGCCGTCACCACCCCCAGCTCCTTCAAGGTCAGTCCAGTCACTTCAAGGATACCATCCATCCATCTTGCCCTTGGTCGGCCCCTCTTCCTTTTACCTTCCACTTTCCCCAGCATAATTGTCTTCTCTAGGCTTTGCTGTCTCCTCATGATGTGGCCAAAGGACTTCAACTTTGTCTCTAGTCCTTGAGTTACAAATACCCAAATAACATATGACTCCTAGTTACAAACAATGGTGAGATAAAAGAAGTGAAAGGAAATCTACTTCTAGGAAGGGAAATTTATTTCTGGAAGTGCTGGCATGGAAAAAAGATGTCCCCACTGAAGCTTTATCACCGATCATTATTTCCACAATTTTTTCAAAATTCAATTGTCACGGGGAAAGAAAGCGAGGGGACTTCTGGACAAGGACACATACAACAAAACAGATGTTACAGGGTATTAACTCTTATTCCCTATGCTATACAAAACTAAAAAAAAATCTTGAGTTACACTTTAAAATGTATCTGTTCTACCTTACTTGCAAATTCAACTTAAGAGACAAATCTATATAGACAAATCTGTCTTGAGCTTAACTCAGGGATTGTCCATGATACTTAAGATTTTCTCAAAGGTTTGAAGTGGAAAACATAATCTCCTGCCTTTTCTCTCCCACTTCAGGGGCTGTATGCACCCCTTCCTGTCTGATTCTTCCAAGAGATCCTGTGCTGCTACCTGAAAATGTCACTGCTGAGACCATGGAACATAGACTGAATCCAATCAGAGTCCAGGTAAAGTGGGAGAGGAGTTCCCTCAGCTTGAGACTTACGTGTATTGGTTTTAAATCTCTTTGGTCTCATCTGTTTTCCATCGATCAAATGTGCTATAAGGCTTTGAGTTCTTAAATGAGCAGATGTACTTTTCAATCCCATCAGCTTTGTTTTGGCAGGAGTATACAGTTTTAAATATTAGGAGTGAGGAAAGGGGAGAGGGCACTAAATGAAGTGCAAATGAATAGACATGTAGGAAATGAGATGTGCGCGGAAAACAAGGCTCAAAGGAGTGAAAAGGCTTGTGGGCTTGCAGTTCAGCATTATTAAATATGTGTGCTTTCCCACCCTATCTCTTAGCCAGAGGGACTGAGGGTTGTTGCTACCTGTCAACTAATTCTATTTTCTCTCTGGGGTCACATCTATCAGCTTCAGATCAGTAGAGTGTCCAACTCATGATGCAATTAAGCCAAATAGCTAGGTCACTTTTAATACCTTGTTAAGCATCCTTAAGTAGGGTATTATATTCATACACACACACACACACACACGTACACAAACATTTGTCTGTTTGTCTATCTGTCTATACACGCACGCATGCACACACATGTGTATTATACCTATATATATGCACACATTCCACTTAAGGAGAAACACCAGGGAGCCCCCGGTGGTGCAATGGGTTAAACTTTTGTGCGAACAAGTCTAAATACTGACAGATTGCAGGTTCAAATCTGGGGAGAATGTGGATGAGCTCCCTCTGTCATCTTCCAGCTTCCCATGCGATGACACGAGAGGAACCTCCCACAAGGATGGTAAAACATCAAAACATCTGGGCATCCCCTAGGCAACTTCCTTGCAGACGGCCAATTCTTTCAAGTGACTTGCACTTTCTCAAGCCACTCCTGACATGAAAAGCTTCATTATATGATATTACATTGCATGTATGGAATTGTTACATTTGTTAACATGGGCCAACACACATTTGGTGCTTCAAATGTTTGACCTGTTTCTGGGTGTATTTGACCTGCTGATGCCAAAAATTGCACCAGTTTTCTCCTATCAGCTCTAACTTTTGAGATACCAAACAGGTGCCATCTACCAGTTGCCATCTGTTCGTGCATAGAAAACCATGATAACCAAATATGTGAAGTTGGAGCTGATGTGGTCTATTCAATTTAATTTTCTCAATCATTGCCCCAAATAACCCCAGGCCTAAAAACCAAGACACCAAGATTTTTTTGGGTGGGTGGGTGGGGGGGAATGTGTAATTAATTTTATGTGATTAGGATGTTGCATACTAATCAAAACTTATATAGGAACTGAATCTTCATCTCTCTATTCAACTCTTTACAGATTATAACTAGTAATAATTATACTATATACTCATGTATATGTCTACAAATGTTAGTCAAAATATCCCAAAATAATTGGGACAGCATCTAAAAGTCAGTGCATATATTGTACGTTAAGTGTCCCCCCCCCCCCCCAAAAGGAACCAACTCCTTTTCTAAGAAGCGTGGCAAAAGGTGAGAGCTTACTTAATCCCAGGAGAACCCAAAAGAGGCAACAACACCCTCTGTGGCACTACTTCTGGGGTTTTTTTAAATGTCTGGGTGGGAAAACAGTGATGGTGATCAGGGAAGGCTGGTCCCTTGTGGTGGTTTTGATTTCCCTTCTCTGTGGAATGACCTTGATTTAGCCACAAGCCATACACACACAAAAATGGCTCCCAAACTTGTCTTTGACTTATACATGAGATCAACTTACACAAAAATAAGATAATTTTGAAGCATATCGTGATGTGTTTCAAATTCAATGACTATTAGAAATACAGTATACTAGGAAAAATTGGTAAATATGGAAAAATAAGTTTAAAACGTTAAAGAAAAATAAATAATATTTAAATAACGGAATGGGAGAGAGGAAAAAATGGAAGGAATAATTTAAAGGAATAATAAGAATGTGGAAAAAAGAAAGAAGAAATTATGTCCAGACAATTAAAATAAGCTGGCAACAATATGGCAAATTAATCACAACAAATGTGATCATCCAGGCGTCCCCTGGGCAACGTCCTTGCAGACAGCCAATTCTCTCACACCAGGAGTCACTACTGACATGACAAAAAAAAAAGTTCAATCGAAAGTAGAGGGAAAAGATTAGTTGAGAGCTTGTACACAGAAGATGAGAATCCTTTAGAGCAAATAAAAATTCAGAATTGGATAGCAGGAAATTGGATCTAAAGTAGGATTATAAGACACAATATCTATAGATGGAAGGAGAGAATTAGGGAACAGGACAGTCCATTTGAGAAGGGGATTAGGAAATGTCTGAGAGAGGAGAAAAAAGTAGCAGGAGAATTGTACAAACAAATTATAATGAAAAACAAAGAAATAATAGTGGAAATATTTCAAACCTGGAGAATGTATATGAAATTGAGACTGAAGATATACAAAGGGAAATAAGTAATATAGCAAAGGAAAAATATAATGTACTTAGGGAAGCAAGAAGGAAAATGTTACAAAAATGGTACAATACTCCTGCACAATTTTCATATTTTTTACCAGGGGGTAAAGGACAGGTGTTGGCATGGTTGTAAACAAAGAGGTGTGCTTAATCACATGATATGGGAATGTGACAGAGTACAGGCATATTGGAGAATGATTGAAGGAGAAATTAATAGACTGTTAAATCTTCAAATAATTATAGCCAATAGAAATGTTTTATATTTATTTCGGGCACTTCTACCCCGCCCTTCTCAACCCCCTAGGGGGGACTCAGGGCGGCTTACAACCGGCACAATTCGATGCTACAATTCAACAATAAAATTCATAACAACAATAACCACAATAGTAAAACATTCAATTAATACAATAACAACTAAAAAGCCAGTCTAGTGGCCAACGTTCACCGAGTTCTAAAATCTGTAAGTCCATTCAGCATTACCATAGTCCTTTCCAAATTCTGGTCGTCATTATCTTGTCAGTCTGCCAGATTACCCATATCCATGTTTTCAGTTTCCTTCTGAAGGAGAGGAGGGATGTTGATGACCTAATTTCCCCGGGGAGTGAGTTCCACAGGTGAGGGGCCACCACAGAGAAGGCCCTGTCCCTTGTCCCTACTAGCCTCACTTGTGATAGAGGTGAGGCCGAGAGCAGGGCCTCCCCAGAAGATCTTAAACTCCAAGGTGGGACATAGAAGGAGATACGTTCGGACAGGTATATGCAAGGATACCAGGAGTGTATCATGTGCAAAAAGAAAGAGTGGCTGACAAATTAAAAGCGTGTGTGCAAATTGTTTTAGTGAGGGACTGGAAAGATAAAACAAAGTGGACTCTGACAGATTGGTATATTTATATAGTAAAATGTTAAATGTGGAAATAATATTGTAAATGGAATAATATAAACAAAATAGAAAATGTTATAATAATTAATAATTATAATAATAATTAAGAACATGTGGGATCCAGTTAGGGATTATTTAGAGGATGTATAAAGATGTGGAATGGAAAAAATGAGATTAAGACTGATATTTCAAATGTAATTTCTGTAATTTATTGTATAAATTGTATGTCGGGGGCGGGGAGGGCAGGCGGTGATAAAACAATAAAATTAAATTTTAAAAAATGTATGCAAAAATACATATGGCAACCCTTGTAAGCCATTAATATAGTCTCTTATCCATCCTCATTATCAATATTGTCTTCAGGTTAATTCATAATTTCATAACAGCTCTCCCTTGTACAGAATTCTGTCCATTGTATCATAATCATAATCCTTTTAACAAAACATTTTAGGCTACGATCCATTCAGGTATTCTTTCTCATCTGGTTGATTAATTTATACAGAGCTAACCGGCATCTACAGTTATACAGGTGTACAAGAGTTATACTTCTTGTTATATCTTAACAACATTCCCAATTTCTTAAGGATATATTTTCTTACCAGTCAGCTGTCCATTCACCAATCAGCAAAGCTCTTTATCTTATTGCTTATCCCTTATCATGTCACTGTCTGCCCCTTGTCTACTGATACCTCATCTAGGGATCACACTTCATATTAGTGTTTAATGTCCCTTCCTAATCCTCTCTAATACCTAGCACCTAGTGTACAGTTGTGGGTAAGTTTCTTGTCTTCCCTTCTTATTTACACATAGCATTGAATTTTTGCTGTGGTTAGCCGTTCTGAGTCCCTCCATGGAGGTAGAGAAGAATGGGATATAAAAGTTGCAAATAAATAAATAAATACATCCCAGAGCATTTGGCACTTGTCTCAGGCTGTAGCCTGTTCCTTGCTGATAATAAATTATACAAAAAGATACTCTCATAGAACTACCTGCATGAATAAGATCATATGCTATATCTTACATGCCATGTGTGACATCGGGCTCTATTCCAGAAATTGGGCTGAGAAGTTGGCAACAGAATATTCTCTGGTCTATAACAATGTTTTATCAGAAAGTAGTAAATAATGTAATGACATTAATCATATGTCAGCCAGTGATTTCTAATTAAAGCTGTGATTTTTAGTTGGATGTAAATGCAATAATTTACTTCAGAAAAATTAGGTTTTAAAATAAATTTTGAAAGGGCTAAAAATGTCCTTCAGCTTAAAGAATGGTGCCTGATTGGTTACCCTCATCCTAGTGGTCAGTAGAGGAAGGATTTATCTTGTTTACACTGGGGGTACATGGAATAAGCTGGAACCACCTCCTTCCATGATTTCAGGTACCCTCCCATTTGTTGCATAAGTTGCTGCTGGTGACAACTCATTTCATTCATTTCTTTTGCTCATTTATTCCACAAATCAATATCTTGTGGAACCAAAAAAACCCCCAACAAAACAATTGAATATCGGAGCTTCAGTAGAGAAGCATGGTGAGGCATTAATAGCTTTTAAAAACCTGTAAAAATTATAGGAAAGAGTACTTCCCCATCATTTTCACCCTCTTCTTTGATTACCAGTCTCTTTCACTCTGCAAATTTGGAAAACGTTATCCTGGTTTCACCTAGCTGATAACTTCTTTGTTGTTTTTTTTTTCTAAATTGTGTCTGTTGAGAAAAGGACTTCTGAGACAGAAATGGTAGCTATTGGATAGACATTATTATTATTATTATTATTATTATTATTATTATTATTATTTATTTATTTATTTATTATTTGTACCCCGCTAGAATCTCCCAAAGGACTCGATGCGGCTTATAAAGGCCAAGGCCTCAACAAAACAACAATATAACAAATACACATAAACCATAACTCAAATCAAAACGTTAAAGCAATAACGGTAAACAATAAAAACAGTACACCATAACACAGTAAAACTAGGTCGGGCCAAGTGGATACAGATTAAAAGTGCTGAGTATGACAGTGGAATATAGGACATTTGGGTAAGTGCAATATGCGGACAATCTTAAATCTCTAATAAAGTGCTTCTGGGATGTGTTGCTGGAGTTTCCTATTCTGGGAAGGCACACCAGAATAGCCAAGTCTTCAAGCTTTTCCTAAAGACTGCCAATGTAGGGGCTTGTTTGATGTCCTTAGGGAGGGTGTTCCAGAGTCGGGGGGCTACCACAGAGACATGAACATTGAAAAATACCTTGAGTTGAAGTTATCTTACCACTTCATCACAATGAGCTTTTTAGTGTCTTAGGACACTTTCCCACCAGTCCAGTGATGGATGGGCATGCTGCCCATCACACAATGTCACTGGACTTTTGGCGGAGGCCCTGTCCACAACCAGAGTGGAAGTGTTTTAGGGAGCTTCCCTCCAAACACGGGTGCCTTCCTGTGTTGTGCTGGCCAGCACGGATCTGTGCAACTTCAGCGATGCTTCCCCTGTGTGATGGGGGAAGTGTCACCTATTTTCCTTGCCACTTCCCCACAGAGGTTGGCAAGATGGCATGGGCAGGGGAGTTCCCCCCATGAGATGAAGTCCCTAGAGCTGTACTTTTTAGCATGCTCTTCTTTCCATGTATGGAATAGCTCCAAATCTTGTGATGTGGAAGTTTTCTGCAAAGAAGGAAAGAACAGGAACAAGTATGCTGAGAAGAGTTGTTGCCAAAAACTGTGACAAAATGTATGCTTTTTTCCTTTTAAAAGAATAATAATAATAATTATAATAATAATAATATCTCCTTGTCCTTATGTACATTATTGATCTTCAGCCTGAACCTGATTGGGTTGTTGTAGGTTTTCCGGGCTATATGGCCATGTTCTAGAGGCATTTTCTCCTGACGTTTCGCCTGCATCTATGGCAAACATCCTCAGAGGTAGTGAGGTGACAATACCTTCGACAATACACTGAACCTGATTGTTTATGCGATTTAATAGTGTTAGTGTGTTCATATGTAAGATATGCCCGTTATATGAAGAATAGCCGTCTGAGGCAACTAACTTAAGGGGCTTAGGGATTTAATAACCCTAAACGGCATTGGTCTGGACACAGAAGGGTGGAATATATCATCTTCAACTTCAAATACTCCTGTGAATAATCTTCTTTTGATTTTTAGATAGAAACTAGCAATTTCAGTGGAGTATAAATTTGCCAAGGAAAATACTTTGAATATTCAGATTTGTACATTTTCCAGTCTGTTTTGGCTCATTTTTCCTACTGTGGCTACTTTCTCATGCTCTCGGGATCAGTAATTTGAGTGATCTGGCCCAAGTAAGGATTGCTGTGTAAGTGGGATGATATCACAGTAACGTGTAGCCAATAGGTTTGGCTATCTGATTGTTTGAGTGATGGCAATTAGGAGTGAAAACAATTTGAATAAGTGAAAACTTTTGTAAGGACTGCCAAAAATTCAACCAAAATCAGAGGTATTTTCTGCTACTGTGCAGAATATTGAAGGAAAACTGAATATTTTTGGAATGTGTACTAGTTCTTTTCTTTGCCTGAAATTAGGAAGAAGACTACTTTATGCACTTCTAAACCCTTAAACTATATTAATGAAATAATATTTGAGTAATATTGTCTGCCATAACATTTACATACTGAGTTGTGTGTGACATTTTCACAGGTGCTGGTTTTGTTTGGAGCTCATACAATCAGATGTAGACTTCTAATTGTCCCACATGAGAAGATATATATTTTGCTCTTTGCAAAATGTATGCAAAGTGTAAAATATATTCCTTCTTTTTTGGAACCCATAGCAGGAAGCATAACTGGATGATTTAAATACTCAAGAAATAGATTAAAGGCTGAAAGCCTGTGTGGTATAGTGGTTTGCAAGTTGGTGTTTGGTGAGGCACCAGGAGTCTTTAGCTGATCTTAGGCAAGCCAAACTCTGTCAGCTTCAGGGGAAGGCAAAGGCAATTTTGCCAAGACAACTCCATGATTCACCTTCAGGTCACCATAAGTCTGAAATAACTTGAAGGAACACAACATCAGATTAAAAGGTTCATCACTGAATTCATACATTATGTTCTTTCCCCAAATAAATTAAGATCTTCACCAGCAAAAGATCAGAATACTTATAGAAAATTATAAACATGCATACTAATAAAATGCATCATCTTAATAACATTCTGTGCTTTCTGCTTTATATATTTTTTAAAAATTTGGATTTTGGCAAATGTAAGTTGTGAAGAAGTTACAATTCTGGGAGTGGGAAGAATATCTGAAGCAGGGTATTAAAACACATTAAGCAAATAAAATTTAATGCAGTAATGTGCTATCACCTTGCCTTTGGGGTCATGTAAAACAACATCTTTCTTCTCTTCAGAGTATTGTGTGTACTGGAAGACTGGAGTGGCATCCAGATCCAAAAGCCATCCATTGCATTGCTTCCTGTGAGGTAAGCTATTTGTGTGTTGCCTCTATCTCTGTGTGTACATATCCAGAAGAGGGATATAAATCTTTGATGTTCTTTCATGCAAAACTGAATAATTTAAAAAGCCTTCCCTTCACCAGGTGAGAGCATTTGCTCATTTTCTGTTTTTTCTCCACACCCAGGATGTTTATATGCGTGTGAAAAAATCATTTGTACAGTCTCCTCTTGTTGGTTGAAAATACAACTTTTTGTCCATAAAACTGTTTTCTGCATGAAATGCAGTGTTTTCTGTTTAAAAATATTTTGCAAATGAAAATTCCATAACAAGGTGACTCAAGGTATAAAAATGCCATTTCTTGAAAATGTATTAGAAAAATTTCAAATCTTCTTTTCAAGCACATCCTTAATTAGCAGAAATACTCAGTTTCTGTGCCTTTTTGTGTTGAATACTATCTGTAATAAATTGTATCAGTAACATTATGCAGAGAAGAATGGAAAGTGTTACGTTAAGTCTAGCAATAACATTCAGTATTTAGTAGGTTCAATTTGGCTGGTTCCCTTCAGCTAATCTGGCTGGTCTGGCTTTTTTGGATGGTTGTAATAGCAAGGGCTTAGCCTCCATGTTTTTTTTCAGCTGCAACAAAACCGTGTCTGTCGAAAACTGGCTGCCTTTGGTTACAAGTGGAGTATGGGAGGGAGACAGACGCTAAAGGAAAAAGCACAACAGGAGGGAAAAGGCACCATTCCAGGGCCTGCAAATCAAGAGAAAAGAGAGGGCTTTTAAAAGGAAGCCCAGTGTAGCATAGTTCCAGGTCATGCGCTGTTCCTTCCCTGGGAAGTAAGGAAGCCTCCTTAAAGTGTCTTGGAAAGCTGCATGTTGCAGGGGGAGAGTGACTTGCATGCCTGCCTCCTCTAGAGTAGAAACAACTTTAACTAAGCATCAAACCTGGTCTCCTCTACAGATAGAAGGCAAAGGATCGTAGAATGAGTGGTATCGTAACTCTGATTATTTTAATTCAGGTCTTAATGAAGGATATGCGTACAAACAATTCCTAAAATGACAAGGAGTCTGGGAAGTCCCCCCCCCCTCCCAAAAATGGGCTAGATAGAAAATGAATCTTTGGGTTTCCTGGATTGAAAATGGATTTATGGCCTCCTGAATTTGGGAGGTCCCGAAAAGTGGATAGGACTCCATCAAAATCCAGGACACTGAAATGGATAGAAATTTACCCAGATTGCATAAGCGTAGCATTTAGTTTTTGTATCACCCTACCATTGCTACTTAGGCTTTGTGCTACAGACATAATACTCTGATCTCTAACTGTGTCTAAGTAATAGTGAGTGGGACTCAGAAACATGTACAAGAAGTCATTCATTCATTGAACCTATGCTGAGATAATTTTCCATCCAACTGACATTCCCAGCAGATATTTCCAGACTATTATTCAAACTGGGCTTCTACAAACTCCTTGTATGTAAACAACAAGCTTGTGTATTTATAGCTGTTTTGTCCCATTGCTCATAATCATAAATGTATTACCCGCCTCTCCTTGTGACTCAGAGCGCAAGGAGCCACAAATTCACATGCTTATTGATGGGTTGCATTTTATTCTTATTGAATAAAATGCAATAATATTTCATGATTCTACTGTTTAGTAAAAGACCCAAAGAGTTTTGGTCTTTATATAATTGGGTTGCTGTGAATTTGGCCTTCTTTGGGGACTACACTAAAATAAATCTACATGAAAATAATAAATTAAGGTGTCAAGATTTAGAAAAGAGGCACAACACATATTTCTACATATAAATCCCTACACATTAAGTATCCCTTATATGTAATGCTTTGACCCCCCCCCAAAGAGTTTTAGACTTTGGATTCTGCCCCCCCCCCCCGATTTTCTACATGCAAACATGAGGTTTCTTAAAAATGAGACCTAAATCTAAGCAGAAAAATGATTTCTGTTTTATGTACACATTATACATAGTATAAAGGTAATTTTATGCAATATATTTTATCATAATTTGGTCCATAATATAAAAATGGTGTACTTTGAACTATCTCAGTCGCCATGTGAACAATGTTGGATTTCAGAGTATTTAAGAATTCAGTGTAATGGAGACTCACGCTTTATTTCTATTTAACATTAAAACATACATATATGCCATTCAAGCTGTCAACAGCAAAATGATTTGTCCTTCTTTTGACTGTTTTTTATATTGTCATGTTTTTCTCAGTTATTAGAACATAATCCATATAGAGCCTCCTTGCTTGAATGCCTCCCTCCTTCTGTTGGCAGAAACTGTTCGGGGGGAGCACAAATAGATGAATTTGGGCTGAGGCATCCAGGAGTTGTTTTCAAGTCAATTTTAAGACTGGGAGGGAGAGAGAAAAGTGTTTAAGGGGAGTTTTATCAAGGTTTTGCATTCAAGTAATCCTTCCGCCCCCAAGGGTCTTGGAATATTCATTCCAACCCTAGCTAACAATTATATTACTTTATATTGCTATCAAACTCTATTTGAAAATTTCAGCCACTTGAAAATGGTTTAATTCCTTACCATAGCAATTTCCTGGGGACAGAGTGTTCATTTTATTTATTATTTAAAATACTAAATTTTTCTCTCTCTTTCCAATTTCCTTCCAAGGTTTTTGGTCCTTTTCCTGATTCTTTCCCTTTCTGCTTCCCCAGCCACTATCTCTCCCATCCACTTTCATGTCTTCACCCTTCCTTCATATGCAGGCAGAAACACATGGTGTTCTTGCATAATGCTGGGCTCTTCTGAGGCAGATGTTGTGGCTGTCACATCCCCATAAGTCACTCTAACAGCCCCAAGTGCATATCCTTGTCTGCTCTGTCCATCTGTCTTTTCGTTTTATAAAAATATTTTACACTCCTTTTCAAAGAGGTTGTCTGGAGGAAGAAATGGAAGACTCAATTAAGTTTTCACGTTAATTCTATTCTTTCTCTCTCTTCTCATATTCAGCTAGCTTTTTGGTTTATCTGGCATCTGTTTTCTCCTTTACCTTGCCTTCCTTTCCCATCCTTTCCCTTCCTCTTTGAATGTTACCAGCTTACTCTCTGACCAGTTTTCACTCTCAACATGCATCTATATAGAGACCTACTAATGACCTCTGCCCAGCTGAAATGGTCTGGGAAAGTGAAAAAAAAACATACTAGGAAGGATGTATGTGTGTATGTATGTATTTATTTACGACATTTGTATCCTGCCCATATCAGCCCGAAGGCGATTCAGGGCGGCGTACAAGTTGGCAACAATTAGATGCCATATATAAAAATACATACATAGATAAAAGCAACAAAAAACATCGCAATACACTTAAAACCATAAAACAGTGAATAATAAAAATTATGTAGCACTGAAAGCTGCCTGAAAGTAAGCCAAGACTGCCTCTCCTGGCCAGAGTTTGGGAAATGCAGTTCTCGAGTTATAAACATCCGACTTACAAACGACTCAAAGTTAAGAATGGGGGTGAAACAAAGGAAAGTGAGAGAAATCTACCCCATGGAAGGAAAATTCATTCCTGTGAAAAGAGCTATCATAGGAGGAAAGTTGTTTCTACTGAAGTTTTATCACCAATTCTTGTTTCCACAACAAGCCATTTTTTTCAAAATCCAGTTATCACAGGGACAGATAGTGAGATGAAATCTGAACAAGGGCACAGACAGTAAAATAAATGCTCTTTTCTATACTACCCAAAGCTAATATATGTGTGTGTGTATGTATATGTGTGTGTGTATATATAAATGTAATGTTCATTTGTGGGATTAACATAACTCAAAAACCACTGAATTGACACGAAATTTGTACACAGTACACCTGTCAGGCCAATGAGTAACCATCACTCACAAAATACTGAAAAACACAGCAGAAGGTCTCTTTAAAAACCAACAAATACATTACAACGCATGCACTAAACCACACATATACACATATATACACACACAAAACACACGCATGGCAGGGGACGGCTTGTGTGTGTGTATCTATCTATCTATCTATCTATCTATCTATCTATCTATCTATCTATCTATCTATATTTGCCTGGAGTTACACTTAAAATGTACCTTAAAGATGTTGTTCAATCCTTTTGCTGTGTTTTTGGTCATTACTGGAATTCAGCAGGAATAGAGCACAAGTCACACACCAACACGGCTGACGCCCACTATGTGATGAGCAGCAACTACTGAGGGCTTCTTCCCCTCCCTCGCTGCTCTGCAGCCCATCATCTTATATGTGTGTCTGTCACTCCCTCCAAAGTTGGACACCCAGTCACGTATTTCTTTTGTTTTTGAGCAGTTACTGTGAGATTTTTAAAGTTCTAACTTTAAGATTAAAAAAACCTGAAAAATGTATTCAAACTCGTACGTCTTAGCAAAGTAATTTTTAAATACTAATGTAATTTCATGATATGCAAGTCTTAAGTAATAAGTGTAATTAATTGAAATTTCCCTTTTTTATTATTTGCAAAATAATTTAATGATTCATTATACCTTTACTTGGAAAGTGAGATGATAAAAACCTATCTGCAGCCTGAAGAAGTTTATCCCATTTTAATTTTGGCTCCTAACATTGTGCAGATCTGATCTTAACAGTATTTATTTATTTATTTATTTCTTGCACTTATTGACCGCCACTCTCAGCCCTAGGGGCGACTCGTGGCGGTGAACAGCAACATAGAAAAACAGCGTACAAAAGATCACAACAAGACATAACAAACTACTACTACGACATATACTTATACTAAAAATCCGCTTCGTCTAATCCTAGGGTCATAGCCAAGTTCGTAGTCATAGTCCATTCTAACGTCGTTCCACAGATACACTTAGTTGAAGGCCTGCTCGCAGAGCCAAGTTTTCAGGCTCCTACGAAAGGCCATCAAAGAGGGCGCCTGTCTAACTTCAGTAGGGAGGGTGTTCCACAGCCGGGGGGCCACCACCGAGAAGGCCCTCTCTCTCGTCCCCGCCAGACGTGCCTGCGAGGCAGGCGGGACCGAGAGAAGAGCC